TCAAATTTTGGGCTACCATCCACTCCCATTATAAAGCATGGATTAGCCTGGACATTATTTAATATAACTCCAATTGTATTCGTCTGAAAGAAGAATGTCATATACACTTAGGATGGCTTGAGGGTGAGTAAATCATGGGGTAATTTTCATTTTTGGGTGAACTATCCCTTTAAGGAGTTGACAATCCAATAATGTCACTCCAAAAAATGTGCTACTGCATCACCTAAATGCCCTTGTTGTGTGAATAATGACTTGATTTCCAGGTGGCCAACCGTGCAACAACTGCCTGGTCACGTTCGTTAACCTGAAGTGCGACTCGTCTAAGAAGGCCAAAGGTCGTCGGGCACGTAACCCATCAAGCAAAGAGGTCACGCGCATCACTCTGGAGCTGGAGGCTGAGGTCAAGCCAGGAGACGCCACTGGTGAGTCTGACATCCTCCACCTAAAATAAACCCTCTACCTACCTACAGAAACTGCAGGATGAGCGTGGAAATGCGGCGCATGAAGGTCATGACGTTCATCTTGTTCTCCTGTAGGGAACTGTAACATGATGTGTCAAAGGCAGCGTATGGAGCAGCAGATGAAGTCATACATTAAAGCCCTGAAAAAATCCATAAATCAGGAGCGTTTCCTCATCCGTGTGGCTGGATTGGAGTACGAGGTGGCACAGAAGCTCCCACAAGCTGCACTGAGGCAGGAGAACTGTGGACCGGGCCGAGAAAAAGACAGCGGCCGCTGTGGTAAGAACAGAAGAGTGAGTGGGGCCTGTTATATATGAACCCCCTTCTCCACTGCAACTTGATGCAAGAGAGCTAGAGATAGAAACTCAAGATGGTCTGAGTCAGTCACAAAACATTTGAGACTATAAATTAGCGACTCATGAATAAAAGTCTTTGACTTGATCTCTGATTACCTACATTTTTTTTTTTATGCAGAAGTGCTTCATGTGTAAAATGAACAGAAGTTATGCCATTGCTATTTTTTGATGGTGACAGTTATCCGAGATCGCTTGCAAACTTTTATAAAAAGGAATTGGAAAATACTGACAGCAAATGCAATGGAAACAAAACTAACTAAAACACAGTTCACAATTTTTCAAGTCTTGGGTTACGAATGATAGCATTTTACATTGATCACTTGAAACTACAAGGCCTTTAAAATCAAATTTCAAAGTCAAACAGCATCTGTCAAAAAAAAAAGGAGCTCAGAATTTCAGCTTCCTCACTGCTGCCCCCTGCTGGCTGCTCTCTCTTAGTCAGATGTTTGCCTGGGTCATACTACCACGGTGAGCAGGAACGCTGTGTCCAGTGTCCGCCTGGAACATTCCAGGAACGTGAAGGTCAGCTGGCCTGTGATCTTTGTCCTGGAGGAGACCGCCATGGCCCACAAGGGGCCCGCAACATCACGTCATGTGCAGGTAACTAGATTAAATCGATGTGCCTTCTACTTGTAATGGATATAAATGTGTCCTGCACTAGGCACTTATTCATTTTTCTTTTAAGAGTACATTTTTAACCATTCCTGGTCATTTTTGTCTGTTTATAGGTCAATGTCCGCCAGGTTATTTCTCCAGCGACGGGTTCAAGCCCTGTCAGCCGTGCCCTCTGGGAACGTACCAACCCGACCCAGGACGAACTCTCTGTTTCCCCTGTGGAGGTGGGCTCGGTACCAAAAGAGAGGGTGCCAGCTCCTTTAATGACTGTGAGGTCAAAGGTCAGACATTTTGACGCACTACAGTGCAGTGCATTTACATAAAGCTAGACAGTGGGCATAAAATGATGTTTGGAGCAAAACATGGTGCACAATTTGTATGTTGTTTCAGAGGCGGACTTAACCATTAGGTCAGTGCGGATGCACAAGTGGTTGCTGTGGTGTTCATTACCACGACAACCGTCTGTGCGTCCGCGTTGAACGTGCTTCTTAGCAAAAGTAGGGCGATGTAGAAAATGGGGACGGAATCCCGGAATCTATTCATAAAAACGGAATTTACTGTGTAACGCGGAATGTGACGGAATGAACGGTGCAGATGCGCGTTTCGTTTGCTAGTTTGCTATTGAAGCACGCGCAACGCTCGCGGTTGTCATCTGTAGTAGCTAAATAGTATTTTTGCCATTTAATATTCACATACACTAGTCCATATCGCGGTTTGATTGAAGCGTACTGAATTGCATTTGATTTATTCATTCAGTATTTGACGAATTCCGTGACATTGCTCGTTACACAGTAAACTTCTGTTGTGTAGCATTTTGAATGTACAAAAATTAAAGGGTTTGTTTAATTTTCATTGGAATAAAAGATAGATTAATGTTTTTGCCTTCATTTGATTACCAGAAAAATGAAAATACACAACACAGAATTTCTAAAAAATA